GGCACGTCTTCCACTGAGGAAGCGGAGCCTGGGGACTCTGGGTCGGGCCCTCCAATCTCTGGTGCTGAGGTCGCCGAGGTGGTTAAAAAGCTCCTCGGTGGCAGGGCCCCGGGGGTGGATGAGATCCGCCCAGAGTTCCTTAAGGCTCTGGATGTTGTAGGGTTGTGTTGGCTTACGCGACTCTGCAATGTTGCGTGGACATCGGGGGAAGTTCCCCTGGATTGGCAGACCGGGGTGGTGGTCCCCCTATTCAAAAAGGGGGACAGTAGAGTGTGTTCCAACTACAGGGGAATCACGCTCTTAAGCCTCCCTGGTAAGGTCTATTCGGGGGTTCTGGAGAGGAGGGTCCGTCGGATAGTCGAACCTCGGATTCAGGAGGAACAGTGCGGTTTTCGTCCTGGCCGTGGAACACTGGACCAGCTCTACACTCTCAGCAGGGTCCTGGAGGGTGCGTGGGAGTTTGCCCAACCAGTCTACATGTGCTTTGTGGACTTGGAGAAGGCGTTCGACCGCGTCCCTCGGGGGGCCCTGTGGGGGGGTACTCTGGGAGTATGGGGTACCAGGCCCTTTGATACGGGCTGTTAGGTCCCTGTATAACCGGTGTCAGAGCCTGGTCCGCATCGCCGGCAGTAAGTCGGGCTTGTTCCCAGTGAGAGTTGGACTCCGCCAAGGTTGCCCTTTGTCACCGATTCTGTTCATAACTTTTATGGACAGAATTTCTAGGCGCAGCCAAGGTGTTGAGGGGATCCGTTTTGGTGGCCTCAGAATTGCGTCTCTGCTTTTTGCAGATGATGTGGTCTTATTGGCTTCATCAGATCGTGATCTACAGCTTTCGCTGGAGCGGTTCGCAGCCGAATGCGATGCGGCCGGGATGAAGATCAGTTCCTCCAAATCCGAGGCCATGGTCTTGAGCCGGAAAAGGGTAGAGTGCCCTCTCTGGGTCAGGGAGGAGGTCCTACCCCAAGTGGAGGAGTTCAAGTATCTTGGGGTCTTGTTCACGAATGAGGGAAAAATGGAGCGTGAGATCGATAGGCGGATAGGTGCAGCGTCTGCAGTGAAGCGGGCGCTGTACAGGTCTGTCGTGGTGAAGAGAGAGCTGAGTCAAAAGGCGAAGCTCTCAATTTACCGATCGATCTACGTTCCCACCCTCATCTATGGTCACGAGCTTTGGGTTGTGACCGAAAGAATGAGATCTCGGATACAAGCGGCCGAAATGAGTTTTCTCCGCAGGGTGTCTGGGCTCTCCCTTAGAGACAGGGTGAGAAGCTCGATCATCCGGGAGGGACTCGGAGTAGAGCCGCTGCTTCTCCACATCGAGAGGAGCCAGTTGAGGTGGCTTGGGCATCTGTTTAGGATGCCTTCTGGACGACTCCCTGGTGAGGTGTTCCGGACACGTCCCACCGGAAGGAGGCCCAGGGGAAGACCCAGGACACGCTGGAGGGACTACGTTTCTCGGCTGGCCTGGGAACGCCTCGGGATTCCCCCGGAAGAGCTGGCCCAAGTGGCTGGGGAGAGGGAAGTCTGGGCCTCCCTACTTAGGCTGCTACCCCCGCGACCCGACCCCGGATAAGCGGAAGAAAATGGATGGATGGATGGATGGATCATCAGAGGTACAGCACAGATTAAATAAGTGGGAGATAAAGTTAGGGAGGCCAGACTGAGATGGTTTGGACATGTCCAGAGTAGGGACAGTGGGTATATTGGTAGAAGGATGTTAGAAAAGAGAAGAGAAGAGAGAAAAGATATATGGATGCAGAAGATATATGGATGCAGTAAACGAGGACATGGATGTAGTTGGAGTGAGGACAGAGGACGCAGAGGACAGAGTGAGATGGAGGAGGATGACTTGCTATGGCGACCCATGAAGAGGGAAAAGCTGAAATAAGAAGAAGACGACTGTGGCTGTATCATGTATGTCACTACCGTACCATCATAATTCAATTAAGCTCAATGTTACTCACTACCTGTGCAATAACCTGTCACACAACCGGTGTAGTTGTAATGTGCAATAAATAGGGCAGCTGTGGCTGAGTGGTTAGAGCAGTAACAATGCAATAGTTGGGGGTTCGAATCCACCAGTAGTCACATGCCAAAGTGTCACTGGGCAAGACGATGAACCCCTCGCTGCCTCCGATGTGTGTCCCATCAGTGTGTGAATGTGATAAAGCTCTGATTAGTCTCATTAGAATGATTTGTTCAATTAGCTTTTCAGAGATCTAGTAGAGTGCTGTATGAATGGGTAAATGAGGCACAGATTGTAAAGAGCTTTGAGTATCTTGATAAGATAGAAAGGCGCTATATAAGTACAGTCCATTAACCATTTACCTAATCATGTGCATACAAATTCATCCTACTTGCACCGTTATACCATGTTATTTTTTACCATTTATCTTTTGAACATTGTAAACATTACATTTCTTTTTCACTTTTTGATACTTTATTTTGTACCCTTATTGCATGCTTTAATATTTCTTGTTTGTTTGTTTTTAGCAAGTCAAATCAGTTCTTCTTGTCCTGAACATTTCATTGCATTGTTGACCTTGTGTTATCCTGAATATGACAAATAAACAGCATAACATAACAACAAGCAGTATGCTGATGTCCACCATTGCTGAGGAATTTAAATAGTACAGTAAATGTTTTTACTTATAGAGATTAGTTTTTTTCCAGGACTGGAAGTGAACAGGGAACAGGGAGGTGAGCTGGTCTGGGAAGCTCAGTCCTCACCTCCTTCTACAGGTGTGCAGTGGAGAGCATCCTGTGCTCCAGCATCAACGTGTGGCTTGAAAGCTGCACAGAAGTCTGTTGGAGTCAGTCTCCCCACCATCCCAGACAGCTACACCTCCGGATGCAGGAAGAGGGCCACCTGCATCACAAAGGACCCCACTCACCCAGCACACACACTTTTTGCCTTGCTCCCCTCGTGCAGAAGGTTGTGGAGCATTAAGTGTAGAATGAATAAACTGAGGAACAGCTTTTATCCTGAGGCTGTTAGACTTGTAAATACCTGACCAGTATAATCACGTAAGGGGAAAAAAAAAAAAATCACTGTAATGCCATTTTGATTTGTGATATGTGACATCTGTGCTGCTGATTATCCATGCTGCTGATCTCATGCTGCTGTATTCATTCATGCCCATCTGTGCACCACAAACTCATGTTCTGGCTGCTGTTGATATGTCATATTGTTTTGCATTGTTGGTGTTTGGCATGTGTCTTGGAGCTTTTGGCGTTCGTTTGGTGTGTATCTTGGTGTGTATCTTAGATCCTTATGTACTGTCTTTTCTTCTTTTTTTTTTTGCTTTGTATTTTTGCTGTTTTTGGGTGTGGCTGGGACCCCAGATGCATAGTTTCGTCATGTGCCACATATGATGAAAAGACAATAAACTTGAACTTGAATGCAAGTAAATGTTAATGTTTTTAGTGGAAGATATTCAAATGAGTAGGAGTTACACTGTGTATAACAGAGGTAGGGTAGGGTGTGGGTTTTATGTACTTGTCTGAGGCAGAGCAGAGTGGAGAGAGCAATTTTATCTACCACCAGGTGCAGGGGCAGAGTCAGGGAGTGGCCAATGGTGGCCTTGGCCACCATAGAATAAATTTTCGCCAACCCAATCTTTTGAGGAAACTACCAGTATGCTTTGCAATTTAAAAACTAGAAAGCATAGTTTCCTCAAATGATTGGTATGGGCAGTCCCCCCCCCCCCCCCAAATACACACACACACACATATTTTTTATTTAATCTTACCTGATTTTAATCTTAAGGCAGCTAGAGGTCCCCCGTTGAAGACTACTGTCAGCATATCTGTCCCTTCTGGGCATCCATCCAAACCTGTTGCCCACTTCAGTCCAGCCAGGCCTCCAGGGCAGTACAGATGCTGAGTCAGTCTTAATGTAGCTGCTGGAGTTACCTCCTCTGCTACCAGCGCCATGTTTAAAGGTGCCAAGCCTACATCAAAGCATATCAGTTCTTCCTGGCCTCCTGCTATTATGGCAACGGCCCCTGTGGGGTGCCAGGCCATGTAAGTGGGTGGCACAGGGCAGGAGACCAACAGAGAGACTCCTCGTCTCTGGTCGTAAAGAACTAAGGAGGAGTCGCTCAAACCAAAAAGGATTGTGGTCTCAGAGGGGTGACGGGAACAGGAGAGAGGATGCGATAGTAGTGGAATGTTGCTGATGGATAAGCGGCGCAGTCGACCCCGTGCACATTCATATACACAGGTGGCAGCACAGGAGGCCTGTCTGAAACCCTGAGGTATTGCAGGTAACTCCACTGTCAGCATCTGATAGGGCTGAAGCTGACTAAAGCAGCAGTCCAGAGGGTTGCCTTCAGTCCGGACAGAGCAAAGGACCTGAGGTAGAAAAGGTACAAAAAAAGAGACAGCTCAAATTTAAAGCATATTGTGCAAAAGTTCTCAGCAAATCCTTTCTTTATTTTATTTGTTGCTTGAACTATTACAACTTCATTACAGGCTCATAAAACTTTAGTTATAAATATCCTTTGTTATTTTTCTTAGAACATTGACAATATTATCCATTTAAAATCCAGTCCTTGCATCTGACCAGGATGATGTCATTTAAAAAAATCTGTGATAACTAGAAAAATAGGATAAAAAGAGAGTAAGTATCAGCCCTTAAAACTGTCTACTGTATATAGCTGACAGAGCCAAGAGTTCTTTGGAAATCACCTTGGTGTTTAGAAACTATTTTACGTCTGTAAAGCTATTACATTTAGCATTTTTTTAATTAATAAAAAGTTTCTCCTCAACAGATAACTTCAAATGACTGGAACAACATAAAAAAACAATATATTTTTATTAGAATTGGTAATATTTATGTGACATTAATGCTTTATTTTTTGTATGTCCTTTACAGAGGGAAAAGTAATGCTGCTGAAAGATTGTAGTTTTAAAAGATGAAAACCAAAAATATTTTTTTAAATGTGCAAACAATTTGGTTGAGACTTTCGCTGCTGTTTACAAAAGGTATTTCTGTTTAGTAAAATTATGTGCTTGAGATGCATTTGTGACTAAAACTATGGTTTCTGTAAAAAGAGATAGAGACAAAATATTATGCAACAAAGTATACTATGGACCCTATGTTTAATTGAAATATGGATAATGAGTCTTAGTGTGCAATGCCACACTTTTTGTTTTCAAAATACATACAATGCAAAGCAACATACACCAGAGAGGAACAGAAAAGTGCATAATGCATCAACTTATAAGAGAAAACACAGAGGATCCTTGACATGTTTAGATTGTTATTGAAATTAAACAAACAAGAGTAGAATTTTATCAATAAAAATTAATACAGCCAAAAAGTGAAACTATAATAAGAATATATCTTGATGCATGCTCAACAATCCAGGTAGAAAAATCCAAAAAAGTTCAATCTGGTCCTCTGGACATTCAAAAAAACAAAACAACAAAAAAATGTAGAAACGTTTCATTTCTCATCTGAAAGACTTCTTCAGTCTGAGGTGCTGTTTTCAGCTCAGTCTCTTAAATAGCACCTTCTCAGAGTGGATCAACCAGTTTGCTGCTGACAACCAAAACCAGCTGCTCACATGGTCAAGAAGGACCATCAGCCTAACACTGATGGCTGTTTACTATTCACAGGGGGTTGAGTGATACTAGCAATCACAGTATTGTAAGAGGGGGACAGTTGAACCCGGAGGCCTCCACCCCTGTTTAATGATGGACAAATTATTTTCACAAAGATGGCCTCCTTTACTCCTCTCTCAAACCATCGTTCCTCTCTGTCCAGGATGTGAACATCTTCATCCTTGAAAGAGTGACCGCTGGCCTGGAGATGAGTGTAGACCGCAGAATCCTGGCCTGATGATGTTGATTTTCTGTGCTGGGCCATCCTTTTGGCCAGTGGCTGTTTAGTTTCCCCGATGTAAGACTGATCACAGCCCCCTGACACTGAACAGCATACACAATATTACTCTGTTTGTGCCAGGGGACTGGATCTTTGGGATGAACCAGTCTTTGCCGTAATGTATTTTGGGGTTTAAAAGCCACTGGGACGTTATGTTTAGAAAATAAATGTCTCAGTTTCTCTGATACTCCCTCAACATACGGAATGACCACTGGTCTGGGTCTGGGTTCCTCCTTTTCACCTGATGGCTGACTGGAGTCCTCTTTGTGTTTCTTCTCTGCTTTCAGGAAGGCCCAGTTAGGATATCCACATTGCTCTAGAGCCTGTCTTGTGTAGGAGTTCTCCTTCTGCCTGGCTCCTGAGTTAGTGGGGATGCTGTCTGCTCTGTCTGTTAGGAGTCATCAGAGTCCTGAACCTCAACTTAAGCTGCAGATCATTCCAAGACATGGGCCGAAATAGGACAAACTCATCTTCCTAATTCTGTGTGCACAAAGGGTACCTTAAACTGCAGCCAGCTATTGGCCCCGAGACGGTGTGTGTTCTGTAGTGTAATGTACCTGGAGTTGATATGATGGTTTTCTAAAATGGCTTTGTATATGAAAATATACCAATGTTTCATCCTTCGAATATTGAGTGAAATAAGTCCAGCAAGAGTATATAGAATACAATGGTGAGCCCTAAAGGGTGAAATTCTTATATACCTCAGAACAGCATGGTAAATGGGGTCCAGTTTATGGTGTCCACATCTCCATGTGTACAAGAACATATGTGACTATTTCTATCTGTTTAATACAACTAATACAATTGTACCATATTTTATTATTACTTTAATATCTTCTTTTACATGCAACTATGTTTGAACCCTGGCTATGTGTTACTGGACTGTTTTTTTTTTTAAAGGAGATAAAAAGAAGAAAGAGTTTCTCCATGGCAGCTGCTCAAACAAAAATAAAAAAAGATGCAAGAAACGGGGCCTTCCACACTGTTCATAAACACCCTGCTTTCAATCACGACAGCTAATGATAAGAGCTCCATTTAACTCAAGGTCAGCAGCATCTCCTTCCTGAGCATGCCACAGCTTGGCACAAAGTGATAAACAACTTCTGCTCTTTACCTGGAGCCAAGCAGTGGCGGCTCATCAATAGGGGGCGCTAGGGCACTGCCCCACCACTCAAACCACTCGCATATTATCTTGAAGACAGAAAAATTTTAAATAAAAATGAAATAATAAAAATATTTCAAAATATATATATATATTTTTTTTTGTTGTGTAAGATAGAAGATTTTATGGTTAACGAGAAAAGTTTTTTTTTCTTTTCAAAAATGTCTGATTGATAACGTATTTTCGCCCTTGCGGTGCTAGAATCATTTCCCATAGATTCTCATTAAAAGTTGTACATGCACAGTTAGTGTTAGGATTTGTGTCAGGAGCGAACCCAGAGTGCAGAACAGGGACTCAACTCGGCAGATATACAAAAATAGGTTTTTAATG